TTTTAATGACCTTAATATACCTGCAGGACCAAGGGATTCAAAATTGTAAGCAGTGCCTGGGGCGTAATTTCGTAAAGCATTATCAATGTAATAATGCCTCACTTGTCATGCGCATTCGTTAGCCAGTGAGTGGCCTGGACTGTGTCAAATCTTGAGTGATCCAAGTAGGAACATGTCCTTTTGTCTTAAGAGGCTTTTCGCACAGACTACAGAATACTGTCTACTGACACTAATCGGGGTACATACCGGTTTGTAAGAGGCAAAACAGTATTTGGACTACACACCCTTGTCCCCTTCGGATTATGCTGGTAAAGGCATAGCCTAGACATACGTAAGGAGACTCTCCGTAGATGTAGTCATTTTGCTTCTCTCTCTCTTCATCCTTTTAGTACAAACAAGTATCATGCAAGAACCACGACATTTCCCCGGACAAGGATGTACATCAACAACAGATGTCAAGACCTCAGGCGAATTCCTTGAAATAATTAGGTCATTTCTTGACTCCTATTGCATCGATCGCGTTGGGCGAGTGTCTTTACAGTGGCACGAAAATGGCCGCTACGACAATCGTACTTCGAAGCCGAAACTGTCCCTTGAGGCAGATATTTTATCTCTAGGAAATCCTCAGACCACCCCTGAAAGATATAAAGCAGGTGATACAATTAGATCTGAGCCAGAGACTCCCGAGTCACTTGGTATGGGCGTGTTACCATCAACCAATAACCTGGTCAGTCATGAAAGCCCATATCCCTCGTAATTCCCTTTTCCACAAGTCATCCCGGCGTTGCTTCCATGGATTGTACGTGGATGAAAGCTGAAGAGCAATAAACGACAAATCACAGGCCGCTTTCGATTATCCGATATCACGCAACTCGTTCCTGACTAGCGATTCCGAATGTGAGTTGATGAGGTTGGCTGACGTGGTGGGAGAGATTTTGACCGCGTACTTCTACAGCAAATTCGCCGTCGCATCAAATAGTCCCCGAGGTAGCCCAAAACCCTATCTCTATCCCTGTGATGGCATCGCCGGGGCCCTCTACCCCTACTACATGGCAGGAAAGCTCTTGTCAAGCCCCAGGATCGACCTTCCCAGAGAACATGTCACTGTTCCCGTTGACACCGACCGATAGCTCGCTATCTATAGGCATAACCCAGGCACAGGATGAAAACTCGTTCTTATTGGATCTACTGCCGTGCGCCAGTCTTAACACTGAGTCTAGCGAGTTGGCCACCTTGCAGTATCCGTTGTTCGAAACGCCTGTACTCATGTCTGTGCCACACTCAACACATAATGTCCACAGGCTCGAATTTAATACGACAGAGACCACATTTATAGCCTCCAACAAGAGCTGTCCAATAGACGTAACAGATCAATCCACCCTCGTGCATACCACCCGACGGAATGCCGCCACCGTTCCCAAGCTTCTCATAAGGGATGATTTTGAGCAATACCTAGAGGCAGAAATACCACGTTGGGCAGCGTTGGGATTGGGTCATGGCTCAGAAGCAAGCAACCCAACGGTCACCCTGGTGGAATGCTCGAGCCTAGCGATGGCTTACTCAAATGTCTGTCAGCTGAACAGTCGTGTCGGCGATGATGTTATTCGATATCGCATGGCGCTAATCCATCTTCATCAGGAATATCTGCGGACCTGTAAATCTGGTAACCGCGGACAAAACAGTAGATTCTCCCGGGGGATCGGCCGCAGTGACGCATCTATGGCCATCGATAACATCTTACAAAACAACCACCAGAATTGGGATATCTTGGACGATAAGGGAAGAGCGGTATTACGTGCTAAGTTCCATGAGTGCAAGCGGTATGGGAAGAGGTGGTCACTTCTGCTTGACGGCTTGGGGCACAGTATACTGTTGCTCTGCTCTCAGAAGCTGGCTAACATGGTGTGAGTCCAGTGTGTCAATAACCCATAGCAATGTACTAACCTTCTTCCAGTCATAACTCCAATGTGACGCTAAAGGCTCTAGAGTCCATTATGAAAGACATCCAATATCGCAATCCGAATGTCATGGAAATTCTTGAGGTGGTGAGGCCCATAGCAGATGGTCTGTTGAAGGAAGGCCGGGTCACGTGTGATGCCAGTGTTATTCTGGCAAAGCTCCGGCAAATGCGAACATAGATAATCGTAGTGGACTTTCAGATCACATGATGAGGTCACGCTGAATGGAACTGAACATGTTTTACGCTCGTTACCCAGCTCTCATTGTCCCTTAGAACAAATCGCTTTTCCAAGCCTTTCCTTCGCGTTATGAAAATTAATCCTATTGTCTCCTCGCCATTCCTCATCGTCTACTCCACTTTACTTATCTTAGCCGAACATTGTACCAAAATATTCTGTTATTTGTCGGATGAGCCATGGTCAAATGGACTCTACAGAGTATAGCTAAGTCACTTTAGGACTATAATAACCACCATACCTAATACCTAAACGGGAAACTTTCCATCTGATTTAGATTTACAGGTTCTCTCTGCCTAGGTAGCACATCCCTTCCCGCTAGTACCTCCCGAGGTGTCGCTGGGAATAGTCTCAGTGAAGCTGGCCTTAGCAGACTTGTTAGTGACTCCTAGGGACTCTAGGGATGGCCTCAGGGGTGCTCTTAGTGGCAGTACAGAGTAGCCGCAGCAGTTAAGTAGGCCTTCCCAGTTTTGTTTTGTTTTGTTTTTTTATCATTTCTGCCTACTATCATTCTGGAATTTTCTGAACATGCAGACCTAAGCCTTGTTAGGAAATTCTAGAATCCTTTTTGAAATAGAGGCGCCACTTTGTAGTATGGATGGAACCCGCTTCCCATACCTCCGTGCTTGCCATTTTATTAGACACTTGGAGGCTGCTTGGATTGAGATTCTACCTAGCATCAGAAAAGATGATGGTGTATACTAGTATTTCCCCAAGTGGTACTCCGTAAATCTATATAAGGGCAGGTTTGCCGGCCCAGCTATTGTCCCGGATCCATGAAATGGTTAGTTAGTAGTTAGTAGTCTGCCTTAATAATCCACTGTCACACCGCTGCAGAAGAATTTTGATTGTGAAGCAAAGTATTCATCGACAGTTTCCTGCTGCCACATAACTCTCTCTGACCATTTCAACATTTTTTATTTTTTTTGTTTGCTCGTTACCTGGGAGGTACATAGTATAGCATGGTTATCTTTGTTCGCCCACGATTTTCCAGCGGAGGCATCTCAGGAAGGTGTTGTATCGAAGCCCCTTTCCACTTCCTGAGCGATCGGGCTCGTCCTTTCACCACAAGACTTCATCATGCTATGCGAGAGAAAGCATCCGGGCCCGAATCTACATCATGTGATGAATTGTTTGCGAATGAGCTGAAAGCCATTGTCGCCAAGTTTGAGGCACCAGTGGCGTACGCCTTTGCGTACGGTTCAGGCGTATTTCCGCAGAGTGCCAAGTCATCCTGTCCAGGTCCCATTATCCATGCGGACCCCCCCAATGCAATCAAGCAGATGCAGGGAGGAAATCAGAAAATGATAGACTTTATTTTCGGAGTCTCGTCCTCAGAACAATGGCACGAGCTCAATTTGCAGCAGTACAGAGATCATTACGGGGGACTAGCAACCTAGGGAAGTTTGCAGTAGCACAGTGTCAAGACGCGTTTGGGGCCGGGGTATACTTTCATCCTTTCGTTACAGTGAATGGAACTCTTATCAAGTACGGTGTTACCAACATAGATACTATCTGCCGAGACCTATTGACCTGGGACACCCTCTATATTGCTGGGCGGCTGCAGAAGCCTACAAGAACTATCTGGAATAACTCACGCGTGCAAGAGGCTAACCAAGCCAATCTACTGTCTGCAATTAATGTTGCACTTTTACTGCTTCCAGAGACATTCACCGAGCAAGAGCTTTATACAACGATAGCAGGTATATCATACCTGGGCGACCCGCGGATGTCAGTAGGAGGTGACAATCCACGGAAGGTTCAGAACATGATAGAGCACCAGTTGGATGACTTTCGGAAGCTTTATAACCCTTTGCTGAAGGCAATGAGCAACATATCGACTATCAGCTGCCAATCGGCTATCACAAATCTTGCTGGGAGCAGTAAGCTTCAGCAAAATTTGGATCCCACCGTTCGTGGACGTTTGGTCCGGAATCTCCCCAGCGCTTTTCGTGCAAAGGTCTATTCACAGTTTGAGAGAAGACTGGGGATTTCACTAGGAATCAACCGCCCTATTCCACACGAAGCTGACGACGAGGGCAACGAGGAATCAGGGCAGGGACTTCCTGGCTCCTTCGAGGTACGACTAGCCCAGGATAACGGCCTTCGACAAGAGATTAAACGCGCAATTCAGAAGACAGTAAGGTGGCCGAGCTTCGCCCAAAGCATAAAAAGCGCCATTACCGCAGGCTTCAATAGGAGTTGGAGATATGCTATCGAGAAAAGACAGAAGGCGGCCTCCGGAAGACGTTAGTCCATCGCATTTTCTGGGTTATCTGGCCGAAGGGTCAAGGGTATGTCATTCTCGCGCGGTCGTCTGCCGTTCTATTCTACATTTGAACCAAGAAGAATATGTATATCGGGTCTCCTATATTGACTGTAAAGTTGAGACTATCAATATACGTGCATTCCTGGCAATGAGCACTGATTATGGCCCTTGAGCTATAGCTTCACTTCCTCATCACGGCTCTGGATGTTTACAACGGCCACTGGATCAGAATCTAGGAAGACCCCTATCTTCCGTGGCTGTGGATCCTCCCCTACCGGAAGCTTCCAGTTATACTTTAGTAGGATATGACACATGACGATCTTGACCTCGAGTGCAGCAAAGAACCGACCTGGACAGGCATGAAGCCCGTATCCAAAGCCGAGATGGTTAGGGCTGATACCGACCAGGCTCGCCGCAGCATCATTCCCTCTTTCGGCTCGCTTGCGAAGGAATCTGTCGCCCTGGAATCGATTCGCATCGTTGTAAAGGGAGTGATCCCAGTGCCGATCTGCTAGGACCATCAAAGATGTCCCTTTGGCAATGCTGGTACCATCTGACAGCTGTACAGTCTCTGTTGCAATGCGCCTCATGCTGGCTTTAAAATAGAAATAAGCATCATGGTTTTATGAGTTAGGGAGTATACCCAGAATGATGGTAATTGAAGCGTATTGTACATACTGATACCGATGGGCTTAAGTCTTTGAGTTTCCTTGATGACGCTGTCGAGGAGCTTGAGATTATGTGGTGAGAAACCTCCCCGGCCGTTTTTTGCAAGCTCGGCCTGGACCTCTGCACGTAAGGGTTCGATCCATTCCTGGTTCTTGGCTAGATCCAAAATGACCTGTGTTAACAGATCTGTGGTCGTGTGGGCCGAAACAAACATTAGAACAAGCTGGGTAATCGCTGGATCATAAGCTTGACCTTTCGCGTTCTGTTCAAACCACTCGAGAGCATCATTGTGATCTATTCTTCCTTTTATGTGTTGTTCTAGCTGTCGGTTTCCGATGGCACGGTTCATAATCATGCGAGTGTTTTTAATCATCCGCCGCAGCACTCGACAAGACGAGAGACACCAATGCATGATAGGGCGAGCCAAAGGATGATAACGGCGTAATTCATGCACAGCTCGCATGGCACTGATAGTATACTGAATAGAAATCTCCAGCCACTCAGGATCACGACAGAGCTCTGGGCCCGTGAAAATGCGCGACGAGATACGGACCACGATTTCCATAACCATATGTTTCAAAGGTATAGCATGCCAATCTAACATCACCCGCTTATTAGACGCAGCCTAACTCACAAGGACAAGCTTACAACTGTACCTTTTCTATCCGTGAATGTTTGAGACATGGCAAAAGTGGTCTCGTCTGATATAGGTACGGTCAAACTATCTGTACAAGAAGTCAGGTTCGAAGAGCTGTAGGTATGTCTCGGAGATTGTATTGCTTCCTTACCTAGACCTTTGCTTAGATGCGACCGAATGACCCTCCTGAGAAGCTCAGAATCGTGAGCACCCTCCGAAAACACCTCAAAGCCCGGATAATTCGACATCGTATGCTGGACAATTTTCTCACATATCAGTTCGAGTCCCCGCTCCATGAGTAATGACTATTCTGACCTGCGCCATAAAGCGAGAAAAGCTGAATTTTGGGTTGTTTCCAACCTCCTGAGTAAACTCCGGGAGTAAGACTGTCAGGGGACCAAACTCGGAGTTCACTTCAAAGTTTTGCCTCCCTGAAGAGGTCATGATATTGTCGAAAACTCCTCTCGCATTTTGAACAAAACTTGCTTTTGCTCCTGTAGTAGATAAGCCAAGCCATCCTCCGGGATTGGCTATAGGAAGACGGCGTCTTTGAGAGCGTTGTTGCAGGCACACAACCAAGAACACTATCAAAAGACAAAATGAAGCGAGAACGTGTGAGGATATACTCGGCAAGGTAAAAGAGGATGTGTACTGGAACATTTTGGATCGTTAGAGTGAAAAATAACTCTCGACTCATGAAAGAAGTCGGGAGGTTGTCGCGGAAGACGCAGAGATTTATTTTATGAGTGAAAAGGTCCCACAAGCTTGGAATAATAAAAGTCGCCAGAATATAAAGATAGCCATTCCACTACGCCTATTCTGGATGGCTTGTCAGCCGTCCTGCTGTGTGATCGATATGTAATATGCAGCAACGTAATAGGATGTAGCACTCAGAGCGACATGGTTGGGTATGTCCTATTTTAGGCATATACGTAAATTCAGTCACCGGTCTGTGTTAGGTAAAACCATTAGCATATCATTAGCATAGTTCCCTACTCAACTTTCTATTGTTCTAGAGTCTAGGCGGCACCACCACGCGGATCTGGTATTTTTCAATTATCTTATGATTAAACATGAGCCCAGACTGGGTTATGCATATCTCTTCCCACCAATAAACTCAAGATGTACGCTTCTTAATTTCAATCATTGCAGAAACGTCAGGGTTTACGAGCAGCTCCCGGCTCCATGTTTTTGGTTTCATCCCATCTTTCAAACGGATATCATAGTTTCGGAGGATTTCTATCAGAATTGCCTTGATCTCATAGACGGCGAAAAAGCGCCCAGGGCAAGCCTGATGTCCGTGTCCGAAATTGAGGGATTCCTATTAATAGTATCAGTGCCTGATTCAACTACAGATAGGGAAACCCATTCTCGTACCTCATTAGTAAGGACGGCCTGATGTCTTCCCTCACGTCCAGGAACCTCTCGTAGCCTGGCATACCGAAAGCCATCGAATACTTCCGGACCAGGATTACCAGCATCTGCGTTGTATTCGGGGCTCAATGAGACGGTATTTTCAGAATTGCTACCGCAGAAAGAAGTGTTAGATAATCACTGTGTTCGACAATATAAAAACAATGTAAATACTTACTAGACACCCCACAATGGCCAGGCAACCGCAGTACCCTTTGGCAACGTTGTGCCATTAGAGAAGGTATAATCGGTCAAACAAGTCCGGGCGCCGGTAACTTTGAGCAGTCAGTACACGCATGGATAGATGAATGACAATAACTAGATACCTAGAATAAGAGGGCTGCAACGTTGGCTTTCTTTAAGAAAGCTATCGAGTTTCTTGAGCTTCTGAAAGGAGCTCTTGGTCAAGTATGCATGTCCTTTCCCGTCCCTTTTGAGTCCTTCTTCCGCTACCACATGCTCCAATTCCTCGCGCAGGGGTTGAATATGTTCTGGATATGTTGCGAGGTGAAATAGTGCCTAAACGCATCAAAAGGTGTGGACCAATGTAAGAGCCCTTTTAGTACTTACGAATGTCATTGTTGTTGATGTGCTGTGAATCGAAACGAAAGATAACTAAGAAGCCATAAGTCACTAACCGCTGAGTCTACAACCAAGATTTGATCGTTACATACCACCATCTGATTGATGCCGACCCGCTCAGCATTCTTTTGCTCAGCCGGCATATGGTTAAGCAGCCATGAGACAAAGGCTCCTCGGCTTCCGGCCTTGGTAGTATTGTCCATTTCAAGACGGTGCTTGCTGAGAACGTCCGCCACGATCGGAGCCATCTTATCCCGCGCAAATTTGAGGTCCCGCTGGGCCTTTCTTACCTGAGGGAGGAATGGCGCAATATAGGGCCGGATAAGCTCAGGGACCATTTGAGAGACATAGGCTACAGCCATGCAGTCTCGCGTGTAATTGATAGACGCTTGAACCCATTCTTCCTCACGACATAGAGGAAGTCCAACAAATATGCGACCACTTAGGAGCGCAACAAACCTCAGCATTGTCGCATGAACTGGTATAGCCGTCCAGTCCTCGGGGCTTCCAATTTCCTTCCGAAAGGCGTAGTCGCTCTCTTCCTGGATTAGAGGAAGAATATCGCCGATGCTCTTGGTGAGCTCGGACTTGATTGTCGCAACTACTGGCTCCTGATGCACCCCGAGATGCGTATACCGGCCTTGAAACATGTCGTACACTGCTTGCAGGAATGATAGTTGACTTGTTGGAGCCAACATGGCTTCCTTGTACGTCGACATGGGCATAATCACCCGCGGAGGCTTTACGGGGATAATGAACGGTTTTCCCGAGTACTAAAAGCCAAAGTGCATATCAGCTAGTATATTCAGTAGAATACGGTATTTCCAGGTGATATACCTTGCGGTAGCCTTCCAGAATTGCGTCAGAATAGTCGGCCTTCCCGGATTCTCCGACCACGGGGAAGTCGAGCCGGGGCTTCTTTCGCTGTAGGCAATATCGGAGCCATAATGCGCCAACAATGGCGGCAATAGCCCAGGTGTATGGGAACATTGCCTTTTCTACTCAGCGGGTGATTCTTGATGGGGAGAAGGGAGGTGGCCGGGTAGACCAGAAGAATTTCAAGGCTGGGGGACGGGTGGCATTTACTCAGGACCTAAATACAGAGTACACGTGTGGAGTTCGAAGCACACAAATTCCCATATTGCAGTCTTTTTCTCCCTGATACCTGCTGCTCTTACCTCCCCTCTACCTGAGGTGGGTTCCATACTGCCCTGGATCCACTGTCAAGTGGAAGCCCGCCGACAAAGCTGAGGGTCGGTCGATGTGCTGGCCAATCAAATAGCTCCGCTTTCGTTGAGAAGTTTCAATGAAATCCAACCTCCAATTATCCGACTCGAAATCTCGCATGAATGGGTAAAGTAAAATACAATACCAATATGGGTCAGTTTACTAGGTCCACATTCGAAAGAGGAACGCTGATGATACAAGAAGAAACATGGAAGGGGAAAACGGCCGGCCGGAGAAGCTGCGTGGAGGGCGCGAAGAACTGAAGACTTACTGGTAGCATGGGCCGCTGGGTTTGGTCCACCGAATCTCGCACGATGCCACGAAGGGCTATCACTCATTTAAATGAAGGAAGTATTCAACTGGAAGTGCCCCTCGTCATCTCACAGCAGGCCTTATAAGAAGAGCTTGGAGGGACTGCCCTCCCTTCCCGCTGCACCGGATCATCTACCAACATGAATATCAACGGATTCCACCCGACCAACGGCACGCACATAAATGGCGTGACGGGGCCTGGCATGGCTGAAGGCATACCGATTGCTATCTGCGGTATTAGCCTTAGGCTGCCTGGTGGCATCCGGAACGATAGGGACTTGTACAACTTTCTGCTCAACAAGAAGGACGCACGAACGACTGTCCCCAAAGACCGATTCAACATCAATAGCTTTTACCATCCCTCCGGGAAACCTGGAACAATCATCACCAAGCATGGATATTTTCTTGAAGATATTGACCTCTCAAAATGTGATGCCACCATGTTCAACATGACCCCAGCCGAAATCGAACGCCTGGACCCACATCAGCGGATTCTACTGGAAGTTGTTCGTGAAGCCCTGGAAGGCGCAGGCGAGGCTGACTTCAAGGGCAAAGATATCGGCACCTATGTGGGCAACTTTACTGATGATTGGCTGGATCTATTTGCCAAAGATGTGATTGATTTTGCTCCTTACCAGCTCCATGGAAAGATGGATTTTGCGCTTGCCAACCGGGTCGCATATGAGTATGATCTTCGAGGGCCCAGGTACGAAGAGAGCCCCATGTAAGCACATTGGTCGGGATGTACTGATAGCTCCATCCAGTATGACAATCAAGACGGCGTGTTCCTCTTCAGCATTAGCCATTCACGAGGCGGCTCACTCTATCCGCTCCGGGGAGTGTTCGGCGGCAATTGTTTCCGGCTCGAACCTGAATCTGGTCCCAGGTCTGTGGGTGGGGATGAGTGCCCAGATGACCTTGGCACCAGATGGATCCTCAAAGACTTTCGATGCGTCAGCGAACGGATATGCAAGAGCGGATGGCATTGCTGCTCTCTACATTAAACGCTTGGATTTTGCTCTTCGAGACGGCAACCCTGTCCGAGCAGTTATTCGCTCGTCAGCAAGCAATGCGGATGGACGAACACCAGGCATGACAATGCCGAGCTCCGATGCGCAGGAAGCCCTTATCCGCCAATGCTACGATGCCGCCGGATTGGACCTTTCTGAGACAGCATGGTTGAATGCCACGGTACGGGTACGGCAGTAGGAGATCCTGTCGAAACAACAGCCGTCGCTCGTTGTTTTGGGGGAGAGGGAATATACATCGGTTCAGTAAAACCAAATCTTGGTCACGGGGAAGGTGTATCGGCAATAACCAGCGTCGTAAAGGCGGTTCTTTCTCTGGAAAACAAGACAATTATACCTAACATTAAGTTCAATACCCCAAACCCTGCTAGTGAGTGACTTGTCCTCTAAAACACATTGTAACAAAGCTGATACCACCTATAGTACCTTGGGAGACCGCAAAGCTGGTAGTTCCCACCGAGCCACTCCCATGGCCGGCAGGTCGCTGTGAGAGAATCAGTGTGAACTCCTTTGGAATTGGTGGCTCCAATGTGCATGTGTGTTAGCCTGTTGACCCAAATTCCAACTTAATTATCATTGTATCTCAAAAATCTAATCTCTCGGCACGTGAGCAGCTAGTCCTAGACTCCGCCGCATCCTTCGGCCTGACCGCAGGCAAGAGAAGCACCGATGACCATCCCCAGCGTTGGCACTTGTTGGCCGTGTCTGCGAATCATCAGGAGGCACTTACCAAGTTGACTAGACGGTACGAAGTATACCTACAGAGTCACTCGGACCGTTTACGAGATTTGGCGTACACAATCTTGGACCGGAGGGAACATCTCAAGTTGAGGTCATTCTGCGTGACAGATGGCCAATCGCCCCTGGAGTTTGCGCAGTCTACCAGAGTTCAATCTCCGAGACAAGTCGCATTTGTCTTTACAGGTCAAGGGGCTCAATGGGTCCATATGGGGAGGGAGTTGCTCCGTGAATTTCCGCAGTTCCTTCAAAGCATCCGCTCTATGGATAATGCCCTTCAGACAATCGAGCATACCCCATCGTGGTCAATTGAAGGTTGGCGGAGTCCAAAGCTTTATGAATGGTAAACTGACAATTCTAGGTATTTTGATGCGGTCTGAGGACAAATCAGCCATTCGCAAAGCAGAACTATCCCAACCCCTATGCACAGCACTGCAGGTTGCATTGATTGACCTATTGGCGACGTGGGGTGTCAAGCCATGTGCTGTAGTTGGCCACTCCAGTGGTGAAATTGCAGCCGCATACGCTGCTGGTGCCATATCGAGAAAGGAAGCTATTATCACCGCCTTCTACCGTGGCTTTGTCTGCCGCAATCTGAAAGTTGTTGGTGGCATGGCAGCCATAGGTTTAGGCCAGAAGGAAGTTGCTCCGTATCTTGTACCTGGTGTCAGCATTGCTTGTGAGAACAGTACCTCAAGCACTACATTGTCTGGGGATTTGGATGTCTTGGAGAGTGTCATGGGGGCAATCAAAAAGGACCATCCCAATATCCTTGTGCGACAGTTAGAGGTGGAAATGGCATACCATTCGCGTGAGTTGTTCTGTCGAAATCCTCATACGTTGCTGACACGAGGAATTAGGGCATATGCAACACCTTGGGAATCACTATTGCGACTTGATTTCATCGCATTTGTCACCTAAACCGCCTAGGATTCCATTCTTCTCTAGCGTACATGCGAAAATACTCCTAGATGCTGAGGCATTCGGTCCAAGATATTGGAAGGACAATCTGGAGAGCCCAGTGCTGTTTTACACGGCCATCATGAACATGATGAATGAATTCGATCGGGATATTGTTCATCTTGAAATAGGTCCTCATTCTGCTTTGAGTGGCCCGCTGCGTCAAACCTATCGCGAACGGGCTTCCTCTATTCCGTATTTTTCAGCGCTGATCCGGGGAGAAAACGATACGACATCCTTCCTGAGCTGCCTGGGGCACCTATACTGCGCCGGGGTTCCTCTTTACTTTCCAGCTGATGATTCTGTCAAAGTGCTGCCTGATCTTCCTAACTACCCCTGGCATTATGAGGCCAGCTATTGGGCAGAATCAAGGGTCATGAACAATTGGAGGTTTCGGGAGCACTTGCCTCACGATCTACTCGGGCTCAGGACTTTGGAAAGTAGTGACTTTTATCCAACCTGGCGGAACAATTTGCGCGTCGGGGACATTTCATGGCTACGCGACCACCGGGTCGGAAATGATATCGTGTTCCCTGCAGCTGCTTATCTGACCATGGCTGGAGAAGCAATCTTCCAACTTACTGGCTCGAGGGATTACACTCTGCGCGAGGTTGACTTTAATACTGCGATGGTGCTGTACGAGAGCAAGGCAACGGAGGTTATGACCACTCTTCGGAAAAAGCGATTGACCTCGGCTAGTGACAGCAAATGGTATGAGTTTTCAATCGCATCTCATGATGGAAGCACTTGGAACAAACACTGCTCCGGATATATCGTCAATGGCTGCGCAGCCCTAGCACCGGTTCCATCCATCGAGAAGTATGCAAGGAAGGTCTCGTCATCCCGCTGGTATCAGACAATGGCCAAGGTTGGCCTTAATTATGGCCCCCGTTTCACAGGCCTTTATGATATTACCGCTTCCCCTTCGGAGAAGAAGGCCACGATGACTGTGACTGACCAACCTCTTGAGGGAGAGTCCTTATATGCGCTGCATCCGACCACCTTGGACCTGATTTTGCAATCCTGGACGGTGGCTTCGGTGAGGGGAGAATACCGCCTCTTCAACAAACTCTTCCTCCCTAGGTTCATCGAGGAATTTTACGTAAGCCCGGCGCCGCATCAGCAAATTGACTTGCACACAGTGGCCATCGGTCCCGCGGCCATAGCGAGGGGTGAGTCTTATGGCGTTGTGAAGGGGCATCTTGCCTACTTCCTTAGAGGCTTTAAGGGCACGCCGTTGGATCAGTCTGGAATGCAGGAACCAATCGACCAGACGGCCCTGACCCTACATTGGAGACCCGAATTCACATTTGCAGATACGGCACAGCTTATGAGACCGAGTGGTGACAGTACACCCCAGCTGCAGATGCTGGAACGCTTGTTTGTCTTGTGTGCCATCGAGACCCAGCGACGCCTCGTCGGCATCCATGCTTCGCAGCCTCACTTTGACAAGTACCGCGCTTGGATAGACCGACGAATCCATGACTTTTTACAACCAGACTATCCACTGGTGAGCGACGCAGCTGACCTGGTGCGCCTCGACTCAACGCAGCGACGGGGCGCCATCACAAACATCCTCAAAGCGAGCAAGAGTACTACGGCTTGGCCTGTGGCTGAGGCTATTTGGCGTGCTCATGACCGCGTGGTTGATGTCTTTGAAAGTCGAATCGAATATATTGACCTTCTATTCCACGACGGACTGATGCCGAAGTTCTACGATTGGTCCAACAGTCTGTCGGACATCGGCGATCTTTTTGATTTGCTTGCTCATACAAAGCCACAACTCCGGGTTCTCGAAATTGGTGCTGGAACTGGCGGATCAACCTCCAGGATCCTCCAACGATTGATCTCCAATTTCAATGAGCGGCTATACGTGAAGTATACTATTTCTGACGTTTCCTCCGGATTCTTTGTTCAATGTAAAGAGCGATTTAAACAGTACGAGGCCTTGGAGTACAAAGTACTGGATATCTCCCGGGATCCCCTCGCCCAGGGATTCACTCCCGGCGAGTATGACTTGATCGTTGCATCCAACGTGAGTGTTGTCACCCCTGAATGTACGCCTCAGCTCAACAGACATAGGTATTACACGCTACGCCAAATCTCATCCAGACACTAGAAAATTGCCGGACTTTGCTAAGGCCAGACGGCCACTTGTTTTTACAGGAGTTGTCACCAGGTAAGTATAATCCATTTCTCATCGAGGTTGGTATATGGCTTCCGTCTAACTTCCCGTAGTTCAGAATTTTATGGGTTACATCATGGTAGGTGTTATATGGATGATTCCAATGTTTGGACAGAATATTGACTCGGCATAGGGTCTTTTCGCCGGATGGTGGCTGGGCGACAATGACGGCCGGGAGAGTTCTCCCCTGGTACCTCCATCGATTTGGGACGTCCGACTCAGTGAAGCCGGGTTTGATGGGATTCAATCGGTCAGTTTCGACAATAAGCTGCCATACTACATGAACGCAAACCTCCTTGCTGTGCCGGCCGTCAAGCGTGACTATCCGAAACGAACCACTTTACTTATCAGCGCCAAAGGCGCGCCAAGTCCTCTGGCCCAAGCAGTTGAGGCATCGCTCCGGGAATCCGGAACTGAGACCGACTATCGAGCCTGGGGCGAAGATGTACCAGTGGATCAAGATCTGATCTCCTTCATTGATGTCGATCTCTCTCAACCCGTACTGCAGACTATTACCGAACAAGCGTTACAGGGTTTCTTGCAGATTATAGACAATACGTCTCAGGCAACCTTTCTCTGGTTAACCCCCCCGTCTCAGATGTCATGCCGCAACCCCCATGCTGCGCAGATCCTTGGAATGGCCCGGAACATCCGGCCGGAACTTGCCATGGACTTCGCCACCGTTGAGCTTGCCGACAGACATCCAAAGACCGCGCAAGGGGTTATCAATATTCTCCGGAAGGTTCAACGAGCACGGATGGACCCAAGCGAGCTAGACCCGGATCTCGAGTATTCCTTGTTAGACGGACAAATCTATGTTGGACGGTTTCACTGGTATGCTATTACCAATGCCCTTGCCGAAACTGCACAGGTTCCCGATGCCAAAAGTCTGGCGATTCATCAGCGTGGTATGCTCCAGACGCTTCATTGGACCGGCATCCAATTCGATTCTTTGGACCCGGATCAAGTGGAAGTGGAGATGCGAGCTGTCGGGATGAACTTTCACGATCTCATGATCGTTATGAATATGTTCGATAGCCCACTCGAGCTAGGGCAAGGATTCAATTCTGTCGGTATGGAAGGTACTGGCTACGTTACCCGAGTCGGGGAGAATGTGATCAATGTTAATCCCGGTGACCGCGTTGTTGTTATTGGGTCAAACTCCACAGGGTTTGCAACAAAGGTTCATAGACCGGCTGAATATTGCGTTCCTTGTCCCGAGGGCCTCCGTGATGAAGAGGCTGCCGGTATGCCATTCGCCTACATGACCGTGTTGTGGTCCTTTATTGACAAGGGACAACTTCAGAGGGGTCAGTCAGTCCTGATCCATAGCGCAGCTGGAGGTGTCGGGATTGCGGCTATTCATGTTGCCCGGTGGCTAGGGCTTGAAATCTATGTCACTGTTGGGAACGACGACAAGGTCAACTTTCTCATGAATAAATTTCAAATTCCTCGCAATCGCATCTTTGACTCGCACAGTGAAAGTTTCCTTCATGATATTATGACTGCTACAAATGGTGTCGGGGTGGATGCTGTGCTTAATTCATCCTCCGGAGAGCTGCTTCATGCATCCTGGAAATGCGTTGCAGCCAACGGCTGCATGCTGGAAATCGGGAAGCGGGATTTGATTAACCGAGGCTTACTAGATCTTAGCCTCTTTGAAGAAAATCGCAGCTATTTTGGCGTGGACTTTTCTCGACTCACAGTCGTCAACAAACCAGCTGTGGTGCGCTTGCTGAAACAGACCATGTCTCTCTACGAGCAAGGCCATATTAAGCCGATCGACCCAACCACGGTTTTTAGTGCAGACAAGGCAGAAGACGCATTCAGGTTTATGCAGAAAGGCCTCCACATGGGTCGCATCGTCATTAAATTCCAAGGTGAGGATGATCTGCCGCTGGAACCCACCCCTCCCGCTCCATCCTTTAAGCAGGATCGCTCTTATCTTCTAGTTGGAGGAATGGGGGGCTTAGGCCAGTCCGTGGCGAGGTGGATGGTTTCCGCTGGGGCTCAACACCTTATCTTCTTGTCAAGGTCAGCTGGAAAGTCACGGGGTGATCAAGAATTTGTCCGTGAGTTGAACGAAGCAGGATGCGAAGTTCAAGTCCAGGCAGGCGATGTCACTGATTTGGAGGTTGTCCGACGTGTTATCTGCGAGGCAACACACCCAGTGGCAGGAGTCTTGCAGATGGCTATGGTTCTACGGGATGTTGGTGTCGGAAACATGGACGAGGAAAGCTGGAAGGCAGCAACACGTCCTAAGATTGAAGGCACATGGAATCTCCACCAGTGTCTTCTGGGTGATGTAGACTTCTTCGTGCTTTTTGGGTCCAACAGCGGTACGATCGGCTCCTATGGCCAGGCAAACTACGCCGCTGCGAACGCATTCCTGGATGCCTTTGTGCGCTTCCGCCACAATCTAAACTATCCTGCCTCCGTGATTGACATAGGAGCAGTTGGAGAGGTAGGTTATGTCTCGCGTATGCCCAAGACCGCAGAGACAATGACTAGCATGGCAGGCCGCCTGGCCACCGAACAAGAATTTCTCGACTGTCTGCAGTTGTGCATCGCTCGGTCAGCAACTGAACTCAGCACTGGTACGTGCGAGAACCGAGGGCAGATCGTTCTCTTTAACCAGAGTATATTGCCTATCGAGGATCCGCAGAACTCTGTCTTCTGGAAGAGAGATCCTCGCTTGGCCATATACCGAAACATCCAAAAGACGACCACGGAGGGAGATAGTGCGGAGTCCGGTCACCTACGACGCTTCCTGGCATCTGTAGTGTCTGATCCATCTCAGTTAGAGCTGCCACAGACGTCCACTTTTCTGGCAAAGGAAATTGCCCAGCAAGTTTCGATCTTTTTGATGCGTGCTGAGGATGAAATCGAGATTTCGCGAACCTTGACAGAAGTGGGCGTTGATTCCCTTGTGGCGATTGAAGTACGGAATTGGTGGAAGCAAAATCTGGGCGTAGAGGTCTCGGTGCTAGAATTACGCGATGGGGGTAATATTCACCGACTGGGTGAACTGGCTGCACAACGTCTGAAGGAGAAATATATCAGGGCAACGTAGCTGGGCTTCTCCGTCACACTTGCGACAGCACTCTATGATACATAAACGGGAATGGCAATCAATTCAGCACCATCTTTTTATTAGCATCATCCTCTAATCTTAAGTCAGCCACACTAAAGTGATCAATCGGCGATGTAAGACTTCCACTGTTCGAAACTGCAACATAGTTCAGAGCCCCAACGAACGACTCAAGTTGGGCACCACGTCCCTGAACCCAGAACCTCTTGGAATATAAGTTGGCGACCACGGCATATTATATCCCGTAATATATCCCCCAACCTCCCTCCCTGTACTCAATTGGGAACGCGAGTCTAAATCCAGGCCTCCACATATATAGACAGGCTGGGCTTCCCGCCGTGAGGCACCGCTTCCCTTTCCCTTCAAGCAATTTTGTTTACCACCATGGCAGGAAAGTTCAGTGCCTTCGACCGACAGGACTTGCCTTATGGTTTCGTCAACGGACACGCTCTTCAGGCCACCATCCTAACACCCAAAAGATGTCTGAACGAGGACGCTCAAGCTTACCCAGTACTTGTCTACTGGCACGGCGGTGGATTCATTGTCGGCCACCGAACGTACGAACCATGGTGGTCAACCTGGTAAGAAAGCAAAAGCATATATACGGCTAACATATTTCCCTTTGCTGTAAAACTTTAATGCTAAGCCCGGCAGGCTTATTGACCTTGCCCTATCTCAAAACGCCATCATAATCACACCAGATTACCGCCTTCTTCCAGAAGCAACTGGAGTCCAAACTCTCGATGACGTTGAGAGCTTCTGGATTTGGATGCATTCCTCTCTCCCAAGGATTGCTGGTTCCTGGGTAGCCCGACCCGATCTTGAACATATTTTGTGCTGCGGCCAGAGTTGTGGTGGTCGACTCGCCGTCCAGTCTGCCCTCCTTCACCCTACATCCCGGATCAAGGGAATTATCTCCATCTCCGCACCCCTCCATGGAAATCTCCCTCACTTTACAGTCCCCAGGCCAAAAGTCATCATGGGATCTCATCCACCTCCTCCCCGCCAGGCTGAGGCTCTGATTCGTGCATACATTAAGAACATTCCCCCCGGCACGATCGTCACTGAGCGGGATCCATCTCTGCTATGGGAGCTCGTCCTATGCATCATTCAGCAAGGCCGGCTTCCCAGACTTATGGGGGGGAGATCTGATCCTCGTCTTGATATCATGGGCTTGCTGGATGTTGTGGCATCGATGCCTCCTGTCTGGGTGATTCATGGTATGCAGGATTCAATTGTATGTTCTCCGCCATGCTTCGTTATTTATTCAGTTTATGGGAACTTGGCTAATTTTTAAGGCTCCGGTTGAATGCTCGACTGGGTTCATCGAGAAGGTTCGAGGAATTATGCCGCACGTGCCGCTGCATGTAAGTCTACGAGAGGGAGATCATAGCTTTGAAGCGGAGGCGCAGTTGAATGAAATTTGGGTGCAGGAGGGATGTATGTTCATGTTAGAATACTGGCTTTCTGGTGCCTCGCTATGATTGTTTTGGAGTCGAACGTAATAAACTGTTTGTATGCTTTGGAAGGTTCATGCCCTAGGCGGGCTGTTGTACTAGCTTGTTTTACCTGAGCAGTGTATTGGCTTGTCTTACGGGGTTGACTGATTTGGCTGTGTCTACCTTGGAGGGTCCACTGTGTTATTTAAATGTTTGTTGCGGGTCAGTCTGGACTAAATCAATATGAATCTACAAGACATGGTCTGGCCTTGGAGACGCAGTTTCATTGGAAGCTTTCACTTCATCATAGACTGTATCCGCTCCGCAGATTATAGACAGGACTTCAACGCGCGGCTTCTACTTTCGATTCCGAGCCGTGCTTTCAAGTGCTTTTGACGTCTAGCTGCCATTTGGGAACCGTGCCAGACTACTACTCTCGGAATTACAACAAGCTCGAAGTGACTCAAAATGACAGCGTGTGGCTCCCATTTTCTAGTCGCCCATCGATATACGCCCCCGGTCATAAAATAAGATCATATAATACCCGGAAAATCGGTGCCGGTGGTCCGAGGTCTGGGAGGGGCGGTAGGCTGACCTGCGTTCTGCTCTTCCAGCAACTTTTCGAGGTGCTCGTTCGAAAACATGGTCATGTGATGTCACGTGTTATTATGGATGAAGAAAGGCAGGCGTGTTGAGAATAAAATAAGAAAAGATTTCTTTAAAAGATATAAGATATATTTATCTGTATCTCGAAATCCCGTGTCTTTCTAATTTTAGCATAAAAAGTTATTATAGATAGCTCTGTTGTTAGCTGTATTATTTCTAGTAAATAGGAATTCCTGCTGGTGATGGCCGAATATACGGTATTTACTCTAATTACCAGCACTCACCCTAAGTCGATAGTTACTATTGTTTTAAATTTTTAAAGGGCTAAAGGCTATTATACTTACTGACCACGCGTAATATATAGCTTAAGTACGGCTGAGCGGACGGGAAGCCCTGTTCTCCACACCCTATGGTCGTATGTGCTTGTCTTCTTATTGAAGAGGAATATATAGATGATTGAATTGGAGGGTTACAAGACCAGTACTTTCTTGCTGAGCAATATCTCTTGGCCCTGTGGAAGAAGCAGAGCGCTTTGTCGAAACCTAGTGTACATCACTGTATGTTTCCCTTGTGACTTCCTAAAGTAGAAGAAAGCACCTTCTGATTAGTGTACTATAATGGTGTCTCCACTGTCTATCTTCCAAAAACAGGCTCAACAGTGGAGAATGGCTGGCTGAACTGGACGATCTCTACAGTATACTGTATTGCTGTACCACTTCAGCTCCGAGGATCTGCAAAGCTTCCGTGTTCCGCAAAGCCTATTTGAGCCACAATCTTACACCTGAGCGGAGGAGAGGTCCTATTAACCCCTAGTTCGGCCGAAGTTTATGCAGGAGCTTTTCACACTGCATGAAACTGGGTCACAGTGGAGCTGTCAGGGAGCTGTGCAGTGATATACCCAAGGTGATCCAGCTGAAAAATACTACTATTCATCTTTAACTATAAATATCTGTTGTCTGCCTCGCAATTGCTGGTCCAGCAGTTTGCCAATAGTTCATTTTCTTTCACCATCAGAAACATGGTGCTCCTCAGTCCTTCTTTCTGGAGCTTCTGCCTTCTTTCTCTTCCTCTTGCGTCTACTCTATCTGTACCCCAGAAGCCTCTTGTGGGAGAGTCCGAAGGTGGGGTCACCACTCTCACTTCCGACCTTGCATTCGATGATGTAGAGTTCAACCCAACCGATTACACATCCCTGGATGAATGGAATCCTACAAACTGGGACTATGATGTTGTCATCGTCGGGGGTGGCCCTGGTGGGTTGGCTGCATCCATGTCTCTTGCTCGAGTTGCCCGAACATCCCTCCTGTATGATTCACAAGAGTACCGAAACGACAAGACACGATACATGCATGATGTTCTGGGACAAGACGGTAAGCGTGCCTCTTCATGCAAGGAAGGACTGAGGGCTGAATGCATCTAGGCGAGGTACCACTGAAGTTTCGATCAGCAGTTCGCAAGCAAATTGAGGAATTGTACCCCGATTACTCTTTCTGGGCCACACGCAAGACGAAGGTTATTGGCATCGTTCCCCTCGAGAAGGGTTTCCGGGTCTACGACGATAGAGGTGGAAAGGTCACCGCTAAGAGGGTCATCATGGCGACTGGTATCAAGGACGTGCTACCTGATAAGCCGGGGTTTGCCGAAGCCTTTGGGAAAGGCATGTTTTGGTGTCCCTGGTGTGATGGCCACGACTACAAGAACCGTAAGATAGTCGTGTTTGGCAAACTTGCAAGTGCCATTGGCTCTGCGCTGAATTTGAGGAAGTTGACCACCGACATAGACATCGTTACTGGTGGTGTATTGACCAAGGAGGACAAGGAGGCGGCAGAGACAAGATGGCCTGGCTGGGAAACAGTCATCAAGGATCACTACAATATTACTATCTGGGAAGAGGACGTCACCAGCGTCGAACGTACTACGATAGGTATGGAGCCCCAGGACGATGAGTATAAAGTCCACCTGAGCAGCAGCTACCCCTTGGTTGCGAACGGGATCATCATCCACGTATCTACTGTTCAGACGTCCAGGCTTCACAAGCAGCTGCGCTTGGAGATGGATGGGAATTCGGTCAAAGTCAAGAATAATATGGAGTCAAGTGTTAGCGGTCTTTATGTCGTTGGTGATGCCAACAACGACAACAGTACCAATGCCTATCACGCCATGTGGAGCGCTAAGCGTGCTGCTGTCAATGCCCACGGTAAGCACTCGTCATCATTCCTTTCAGCGAGCCATTACTAACCATATTAGTCTCCATGTCCAAGCAGGAATACTTAGACAGTGTTCCTTCAGCCATGGTAGCGGCGACAGGTGGAGATGAAGACTTCTACCGTAATCAGGTTGAAGGCCTAGAGGTCCAAATTGGCGACGATGTCGAGCAGCTGTACAAGGTTCTCGGTGGTTAAGTTCTTGCCTGAAGTAGTATGCAGCACTGAATAAATATGTGAATTAACCCTAAGTTTCAATATGTCCAAGAGACTCAGGAGCGTATACCATCGTATCCAAAGTAGGGTGTCTTGGCCGGACAAGCCAAGAGAGATAACCAGTGGGTCGCTTCAGCCCTCGGGCGGGGCTTTCTGCGGATGACGATCTCCCGGTGACTGAAGAGCATCTTGTACAGACTACAGAGTAGTGTTGTATGTAGGTACATAACCCTCATAAAGTCAGGGGCACGGTAATCGAGATCGGCATTAAATCCGCCTACCCCGCTCAATGCCCATCAGACGAACTGCGATCTTCATCACAGAAAAAGCAAATATATGTATGTCCCTGCCAATGGCGGTCCTTGAGAGATTTTTTCTCTTCAGCTCAACTCTAGCACGGCCCCATTAGCTCATGGACAGCTGAGGGCAAAGCGAAGATCAGTAAAGGTTTGATGAGCACTTGAAAGTCTCGACGACAGATAGTCGAGAATAACGCTGAACACGGCAGCTTTCCCCG